TTTTGAGAGAGAGACAAAATGCAAGCAGGGGAGAGGCAGAAAGAAGGAGACCCAGAATCTCAAGCGGACTCCAGGCTCTGAGCTGTCAGCACAGGGTGCGACATGGGGCTCGAATTCACCAACTGCGAGATCATAACCTGAGCTGAAGTCTGACTCCCAACCGACTGAGCCACCCAAGTGCCCCAAACAGCATAACTTCTCTTGGATCTAGTAGAGTACTTTTTTTTTTTTTTTTTTAATTTCAGGGAACGTGCACATGCGCTTTCATGGGGCAAGAGACAGGGGGAGGGAGAATCTTAAGCAGGCTCCATGCTCAGCGTGTAGGCAGACACAGGGCTCAATCCCAGAACCCTGGGATCATGACCTGAGCCTAAGTCAGGATTTAGGATGTTCTACCGACTGAGCCACCCAGGCGCCCCAGATGCAGTAGAGTAGCTTACACATGGAGTGTGGAAAGGCCCATACAGAGCTTTATGAAAAATAGCTTACAACAGGAAGGACAGTCCGTAGTACCTGCTGTAAGATTCAGATGCTTAGTACAACTTTGATTTCCCGATGATACCATAATCCGTATGTAGATAATGCCATGGATTCTGTACTTTTCACTTATCTTCAACTTTTCAAGATCAAAAAAACTTTATTTTTAAAATACTTGTATAACTAGGGGTGCCTGGGTGGCTCAGTCAGTTGAGGGTCTGACTTCAGCTCAGGTCATGATCTCACGGTTCATGAGTTCAAGCCCCACATTGGGCTCTGTGCTGACAGGTCAGAGCCTAGATCCTGCTTTAGATTCTCTCTCTCTCTCTCTCTCTCTCTCTCTCTCTGTCCCTCCCCTGCTTGTGCTCTGTCTCTCTCTCAAAGAATAAATGAACATTAAAAAAAATTAAAAAAAAGAATATGTGGAACTGAGTAATGGGGGGGAGTATTTACTATATTTACTTCTTTCTCTTTACTGGTATTGATTTGGTAGAATTCCAATAGCCTTTGCATATCTGAATGCATACCATGTGAAAGTATAGGAATAGATTCTGTATGGTAGAGCTTGTTGACTCACAGGCAGGTGTTTGTCCCTGTGGCCTTTTTAGATGGAATTGCCAGTCCTGGGTCACTTGTAATAAGGGCTTCTTATAGATGTTAGATTGCTCCATTTTGTTAAGAGATTTAGCCAGTTTTGCATGGTGTAGTTTTCCTGTCCCATCATTCCTATCATTTACTTGATAGTGAAGGAATATTTATTTGGTATCAAAGAATTTAAGCAGTATATATTAAATATGTAATGGTACCTCCTAGTTAGGAATAAAAAAATGAGTAAGACATTTCTCATTTCTTTCTGTAATCCTCTCTCTTCAAGGATTACAGTCTGGGGAGATACGATGTGAACAGAACACAAGCAATTCTAGGGCGCTGTGTGACGTACTATTAAGTAAGTGCATACGGAGTATTTGGAGTTCAGAGAAGGGGGAGAGAACTCTCCTCCAGCTGGGTGATCAGAGTAGATTTCAGGAAGAGGTATATTCTTCTAAGGAATTCTCTGAAAGGTGGATGACAGAAAAGAGCATTTAGCAGGAGGAGGGAGTAACCATAAACAGGCACAGAAGCAGGAAAACAAAAGCCTTCATAATTAAGATTGAAACTGAACTAACAGTTTACACCATTCCTAGAAAGTTGTTCCTGACCCTCTGTGGTCAGGTTGATTTACCTGCTTGGGTTTGAGAGACGGGGTGACATTCCAGACAGATCATTAGAAGTCATTCTGGTTGTTAATCCATTGATGTAGATCATCAAGAATTTGCTGATTGTCAATAATCACTGCAAACATCACTCTTACTGGGGCTGAACAGGTTTGTTTTGTCTTGTATTTGCATCCTTTAGTTTTATGTTTTATAGCTATTGGTAATTAAGCTTTCTTAATCTCTGTGTGAATTGATGCCCAGTCCTTTGTATGAACAAAATTGGATTCGTCGCTAATGAGCCAGAAAATTATCACTAACACAGGCGGCTTTATTAGTCTTCAGGTCACCATTTCAGCCTGTTAAGACAAATAAATGCAATTTCAAATATTATGAAGAATTGTACTTAAAAGTTCTCTCTGATTAAGAGAAGTTAATGGGACTTTTGGTATACTTGGGTTGTCCTGTTTTCCTTAGCTTCACAAAAAATTTGACAGTTCTCCATCCCTTTGTGGTATCTTTTGAAGTTTTATTCTTTTCGTGCCTTGCTTACGAAATTTTATTCCTATCTCAAAGGCTTAAAGATATTTTATATTTTATTCTAACTAAACAGATTTTCACTATTAGATTTTTAATTTACTTGCAGTTTATTTTCAGTGGTGGTGTGAGATATGGAATCCAGTTTTCTCATTTTTCCGGATGCATAGCCAGTTATCTTAGCACCGTGGACTAAATTGTGACCTTTGCCATTGGTTTGCCTTCTCTCGTGCATCAAGTTTCCATATATGCACGGGCCTGCTTCTGTGTGTGACAGTTTTTCTGTTTGCAAAGATTTCTGCAAATATTTCCATGGTACACACGTATATAATATGACAGAATTATTTTATGTTATTCTGGAATAGTATTTAGTTGCAACAGAATTTAAAACTGATTCTCAGGCATTTTTAAAACTTCATACTCTGATGAAGGAGTGTGAACATGCAATGTACAGATTTTCATGAAGACACTTTTTTTGGCCTTCCTAAAATATTTCTGTAGAAAGGCTAGTTGATGTGAAGTTAGTATGTAAATGCTAAGCGTGTTAAGTTATATTAAGTCACTGGTTGTCAACTTTGGGAGTAGCCACGTAGTCTGTTGAGCTGTGGGGTTCTGTGGTCAAGGTGTGGGGTTCCGTGGTCAGGGTCCAGGACTTGGTCATCCATGAGGCCCATGATTTGGGCTCACGTCATACAAACACGTTACACTGATTTTTGCCAAAAGCCATCTGGTTCACTTTTATTTACTATTTATTTATTTCTGTGGTGAGTAGGATATTGTCTCCTTTCTGTTGATCTTTTTTTATACTTGGTGACGTTTTAAAATTTCAACATAATTGTACACATATTTTTATTCCCAAGTGAACAGCTTATTTTACTTCGCTTGCATTTCACGTTGGCCTCTTTCTAATGGCAGGTTGTAATTCATCCTAGTCATCTATCACCAAAATATCTAAATTCCACTACATGGCGGTTTTACCTTTTCAAATGTACCTGTCACAGTCAAGGGTGTGGACTGTTACTCTTGTCAAGAGAGATTAGATATTGGAATCTGTCTTTGGCTACAAAACCTATACTTCGTCTACTTCGTCAACTCCAAAGGAGTGACTTACCAGCTAAAGAATAGTGTCCTTATATTCTCTACTTCACATTTATGAAATGGCCATGTTTTTGTCAAACAAATTAAAAATGTGAATAACTTATGTATTACATGTTAATAACTTAGATATTAGGTAGAAAGTAATGGTACTTGGATAACGAGTTCATCTAATCCACAGCTTGATATGATGTTTAAAAGTAACTGGTGCTCCAAGTACTTACATGCATTTTATTTCCTACAACTTGCTCAAAAACATAGTACATGACAGTACGACTTTTTAAAATTGCTTTTTCCTTTATGGAGATGATATTGCTGATCCCCTGATAGGTTGTCTGATCTGAGTGGTTTTTATTAAAAATAATTTCCTGCCGATTCTGTGTACACAGTAACCAAATCCTATCTGTCCATGAAGTAAACATTTAAAGATACCTCTCCCCTCCGTTCCCACCATAGTATCGTCAGTATGTTACTAATAGATTTGTATTATAATTTATCCATTCATAGATGTCTCTCTGCCACCGGGTTATGAGGCCAGAACTGATTTATTAATCTGCATATGACCATACAGTGCTGGGTTTGTAACAGGGGCTTAGTAACTGCACAGTGAAGTCATGAATGTCGTCAAGCTTGGAGCCTGTAGTCCTTTGCCAGGAAACTAGTGGTTGGGGAGTTGGAATCTTGCTGTTAGTTTTATCAGCATTTTGCTCAAGTCAAGCTAATCATCTTGTGATGGCATTATACTTTGATGCTTGCAGAAACTGCAGAGCACAGACATAGAGGAAATAAACATAAAGCATTGTGCGTAGTTTCAACAGAATGTCTTTGCAAAGCAGTTATTACTGTTAATATTACTTCTGGGGCAAACTTTTCCCTATAAAACGACAGTCAGAAAGCCTTCGCAGAATTGAAATCCTATCTTTTCAGTGATGGAATGAGGTACAAGATAGTTTAGAAAATATATTCCTGGATACAGAGGTATAAAAACTTGCCAGGCGAAATTACCAAAAAAAAAAAAAAAAAAAAAAAGGAAGAAATCCTAACTCGGGAAATGTGCTTCCTAATCTTCAGAATAGATCCACACCTACACATATCTAGGTTTTCACGGGTCGTCCCTGGCTGCCAGCGTTGGGTGTCTCCTCTGTGCGAGGCGCTGGGAACATGAATGGGAACGGGCCTTAGTCTAAGGAAACGCAAAGGTGTGTTCTAAAGGGGCATTTCTAGACTTTTTCCAGATTATCACAGATCATGGGATTCTTTTACGTAATTTTACAGATGCCTCCGTATTTGAAAGCGTGTGTAGATTGTTGAGGAGTCAGGCCGACTCGTTCTCCTGCTGGTGGGACTGGGCGTCTCCACCGAGAGCGCGTGCTGTCGCCGTGTCGCGGCCTGGGGTGCAGGCAGGGGAGTGCGGATCCGTGCGGTGCGCGTGGGGCGGAGGCTGAGAGTGGGTGTCGCGGGGGCGGTGTCGGCGAAGGCCGGAGCGTGGACTCCTGTCCGGAAGCCGGGTGCGGAAGGAGAAGAGGAAAGTTAGGCTTTGCCCTCGCAGCATCCTGACAGGCTTGGCAGGGGCCGTGAGCAGGGGACTCACGTGTCCTCCTGTGGAGGCGAGAGGATTGAAACAGTAAAGTAAAACTTCTGTGGAAAGACTTTTTTTTTAAATGTGACTTTTTTTTAATTTTATTTTTTATTTTTTAGAAAATGGCTCCAAAGGGTATATGAAGCTGGAAAAGTACATAGATGCAGCATTGCAGCCTCTCCAGATGTTTGAGGATAATATTCCGGAGAGAAATTGATCCCCTCGGATTAGGTAACTAGTCATAATGAAGAAAATTAGTCTTAAAACCTTCCGAAAATCTTTCAACTTGAATAAAAGTAAAGAAGAAACGGATTTCATGGTAGTGCAGCAACCGTCACTGGCCAGTGATTTCGGAAAAGATGACTCCTTGTTTGGTAGCTGCTACGGTAAAGACATGGCCAGCTGCGACCTCCACAGCGAAGATGAAAAGGGTGGGAAGAGTCGATCGAAGAGCGAAAGCCTGATGGGTACGTTAAAACGACGCCTGTCTGCGAAACAGAAGCAGAAAGGCAAGGGCAGTGCGCCCTCCGGGAGCTCGGCTGACGAGGACACCTTCTCCTCCTCCTCGGCACCCCTGGTCTTCAAAGACGTGAGAGCCCAGAGGCCCATCAGGTCCACTTCGCTCCGCAACCATCACTACAGCCCTACGCCGTGGCCTCTGCGACCCACGAACTCGGAGGAGACGTGCATCAAGATGGAGGTGAGGGTCAAAGCCTTGGTTCACTCTTCCAGCCCGAGCCCAGCCCTGAACGGGGTTCGGAAGGATTTTCACGACCTCCAGTCTGAGACTGCGTGCCAGGAGCAGAGTAGTTCACTCAAGAGTTCAGAGTCTCACAATGGAGACTTGCATCTTCACCTTGATGAACATGTGCCTGTAGTTATCGGACTTATGCCTCAGGACTACATTCAGTATACTGTGCCTTTAGACGAAGGGATGTACCCTCTGGAAGGGTCGCGTAGCTATTGTCTGGACAGCTCTTCTCCCATGGAAGTCTCTGCGGTCCCTCCACAAGTGGGAGGGAGCTCCTTCGCCGAAGACGAGAATCAGGTAGACCAGGACCTAGTGGTGGCCCCAGAGATCTTTGTGGATCAGGCGGTGAACGGCTTGTTGATTGGCACCACGGGAGTCATGTTGCAGAGCCCGAGAGCGAGTCACGACGATGCCCCCCCACTCTCACCGTTGCTACCTCCAATGCAGACCAATCAGATCCAAAGGAACTTCGGTGGGCTCACCGGCACAGATGCCCACGTGGCAGAAAGTATGCGCTGTCATTTGAATTTTGATCCTAACTCTGCCCCTGGGGTTGCAAGAGTTTACGACTCGGTGCAGAGTAGTGGTCCCATGGTTGTGACGAGCCTTACAGAGGAGCTGAAAAAACTGGCGAAACAAGGATGGTACTGGGGACCAATCACACGCTGGGAGGCAGAAGGGAAGCTAGCAAATGTGCCAGATGGTTCTTTTCTCGTTCGGGATAGTTCTGATGACCGTTACCTTTTAAGCTTGAGCTTTCGCTCCCATGGCAAAACACTTCACACGAGAATTGAACACTCAAACGGTAGATTTAGCTTTTATGAACAACCGGATGTGGAAGGACATACGTCTATAGTTGATCTGATCGAGCATTCAATCAGGGACTCTGAAAATGGAGCTTTTTGTTATTCAAGGTCTCGGTTGCCTGGATCTGCAACTTACCCGGTCAGACTGACCAATCCAGTGTCACGGTTCATGCAGGTGCGTTCTTTGCAGTACCTGTGTCGTTTTGTTATACGTCAGTATACCAGAATAGACTTAATTCAGAAACTGCCTTTGCCAAACAAAATGAAGGATTACTTACAGGAGAAGCACTACTGAAAGATTATGAGAACCCCCGCATCTTGCACTTTGGGAATAAGAAAAAGAGATTGAAATACAGTTTACAAACTTTCATTGCTATCGAAATCTTTTGCTGCCATACTATTTCAGTTTTATGTGTAAAAGTAATCAATTTGTTTAGTTAGGGGTGGGGAAGTGTCAGCAAGGTGTCTTGGGTTTATTTTGGTTCTTTATAAAGGGAAGTCTCGAGGTTTTGGAAGTGTGAATTATCTTTCATCAATGTGCAGAATAATCACAATGTGAATTATCAGATTCTCCTTAACCACCCCCCCCAAGTCCTTTGCTGCTATCCACTGTGATTTTTATGCATTAAAAGCACATTTCATGTGTATTCAACCCTAAGTAAAGTTGAATGAAACTTACAGAATGAGTATTGTTATGTCTCTTTAAATGGCCCATTTTCAAAGATAGTGGTGAATAAACATACCCATGTGATAAAACACAGAATTTACACGTACACTGAAAATGATTTTTAATCTCCTACTTTAGAAAGATTTATTTAGAATTATGATTTGACATAATCTTGGGTATTAGAATGTAGACCCGCAGCATATCTTTTACAACACTTACTCTGAATTGTTTCTGAGGTTGTGCTGTGTTTTGGTTGTGGAAAGTGGAATTTTTCTGTTGCCTTCATTTTCATCTTGTGGTTTGTCTACTTTAATAAATGGCCTTACATTAAAAAATCATCAAGAAGTATATAACATCAACGTAAGAAAGCGTTGCCTTTTCTGTCATTAAGCTCTGGTACAAATTGGCATAACGTAAAAAGATCTGTGGGACTAGAACTATTACTGAAGAAATTACTAGATGATCATAGTTTCCTGTGATGATAATTTTTTTGTGTGTTAATTATACTTTCCTTTGGTAAAGTGTTTTTTCTGTGATTTCTTTCGCTTAGCCAACATTTTCTTTGGGTGAACTTGACGTAGAACCGATTTTCATAAAAAGAGTGGGTTCTCTTGCAACATTTAAGTTTATATAAAGTTTTAAATTGATTTGAATAGAAAACATTGTTTTAGAGTTGGATTTTTATTCTTTTATGTAGTCACTATTAAGATATGCTAGGTTTGACCCTTCTTCCTTCTCCCCACCAAAAACCAAAAAAACCCGATGACTTTAGTTGAAAAACTGTGGAAACTGTGGAGCATCATGTAAGAATATTAAAACCATATCAGGTATATGGAAGTCTTGTCACCTGCCATATACCGCTGTTTAAAACTAATTTATTGTTTTTTGGTTTTTTGTTGTTTTAAATCTAGCTGAGTCTTAAGTAAATTGGCAGGCATCGTTAGTTATTTTATCTCTAATTTAGTCGCTTGGATTGTGGGGCGGGGGGGGTTGTCCCCAGTACTTTTGTTATTTTTGAAATTCAGTGTTTATTCGCTGCACTATTCTTTAGTGAGTATTTTGGAAGTACCCCATGTAGAAAATGTTTCCATCTCAGATGAAACATACCATTTAAGACATTTCTTCCTTTGTCCCTCAGTTTTCCTGTCTCTTACCCGTCAATTAAAAACAAGACTAAAGGTCTTAGGTCAACCCTAATGGCTTTGTCATTCAGTATCCCTGTTTTTTTGTTTGTTTTTGTTTTTTTTTTCCTCTCTGCTTTTTAGGGTCAGAACTGAGAAATACCAAGAAAAGGCACAATGATATCGTGTTATGGTATTTTGCCATAAAGGGGAAAAGGTACTTAATTTTGGTGGAATGTTGATTGTACCTTGTCATAAAGGCTCCTCTTTAATTTTCTGATGTTTTCACCTAATAAGATGGAGTATACTGTAATAATATAATTTAAGTGTTCACTATAAGCTATTTGGATTAAGAACTATTACAGAGTTGTAAACTTATCAAATTAATGCAAGACATTTAAACTATTTTTTTGCAAAACTATTTATTTTTAAACAATTTAAAATATATCTAGGGTGAGTTAAAAGTCCCTGTGCATCTATATTAGATGGCAGGTATTGTCACAGAGTCACTGTGTATTAATAATAAATGTTGAAATGGCTTCTCCATGTTTCTAGAAGCATTTACATGTACTCTTTGTGAGACCATGGTGCACAGAGGTCTTTGGACTGCCCTGAACCCCGTCTTCTTGTGTGGACATAGCCTGTTCCCCACGTGTTCCTCATGATACCATGTGTTCAAGATTTAGCTATTTAGTTTCAAGATTATTTTGATTTTCATCTAATGGTTTTTAAAATCATATTTTGTGTTTTATGGAGGGCAAGTCTAGATGCCGTTCTAATTCAGAAAGCCAGTTTTTTATGTGCTTTTTGTACATTCATAACATAAAATACTTTAAAATGCCCCATTCTAATCCAGTTTGAAATTGCTAGGGTCTGACAGTGTATCGAGAAAAATGAAAGTATTTGCCAAGAACTTATTTACAAACAAAGGAGTATTGCAGTATTTTCTGCTTTTGTGTAGAGAGAGCCATTTGGCATAGGCAGCACAAGATAATGTGAAAGATCGGCTTTATAGGATACTAAAATAGTCTGCTTAAAAATGGAAGGGAGAAAAGAGAGAAATCTCCATCCCGTAGTTTGGTCTAGAAACCATTTGCGTAAACTTCTGGATTACCCTGAGTGGCAGCTTAGATGACATGGACACAACCTGTAAGTGACATTTAAAGATATGAGCTCAAGGCAAGAAAGAGAAAACAGGAAAGCTGTATCCTTTTGCCATAGTAAATGAATCAGAGTTGTTTTCTTGAAGATTTCACCACAAAATACAATGGAGGCCAGAAGATAATTCTAGGCTTCCTAGGACACTTTTGTGCATTTTTATAAATAATAAGAAAGCATAGAAAGTACTTGAAAAATATCTCCCTCTTTCTCTTTCTAAGGAAATCTTCTCTTTCTACTTGGTGCAATAATCTGAAAATCTAGAAGGTCAAAAATATATCACAGGAAATGATCATAGAACTAAAAATAGTTTTTAAGGAAACGAGTTACAAGGGCAACCATCTTGCTGTTGAAGAAAATTGTGTGCCAGAAGGCTAAATCGTCGGCGTATTAGGAAATAAACACAAAGTATACCTTACAATTTCTGAGCCAGTATTACTGAAACAGGATAAAAAGTACAAAAATCTTAAATAGGTTCTATGCAGTGTCCCTGCTAGTGCTGGGTCTAAATATCTTAATGCTTTCAGAAACGCCAATTTTAATCCTGGACATTTCACATTATATACGAGAGATAATCTACATGAGTGATTCAAAATAGTATATATTAAATCTTAATGGCTGTTCATCGAATGCGAAGTCTTAATTTGAAAATGGAATCACACTACCAGCAAGACAGTTTTGTTGAAAACTCTAATAAGGAACAGTTGCCAGTTCCATAAATAACTTTAAAATTCCAAAATAAAGTATTGGTACGCTAGTAATCACAAATTTGATTTCTTTTAATACTTTTAAAAATCCTATTAGGAAGGGTTTTTTTAAATAAATGTTCTTTTTATTAATTAGTCATAACATCGTGAATGTGTAGTTGCTGTTTCTGAAAAGTGATCCAAACTCTACATCCAGAGATGATGAAAAATTCTTATAGAATTTTGTAATAAGTATACATGTTGGGTTTAAAGATATTTTATAGTCGTTGGGAGTGCCATGAAATTAATACTTGCAATCCAGATTGCTGTAGTTTACCCTTTTTCTGTATGTTTCAAATCAGGTGTGTACCATTTGTACTGAGAACACCACAGAATGAATTATCCAAAGTCCATTGATTTTAATATGTGTTTTGGTTTGTAAACAAATTATAGTAATTTCTTGCACATTTTTGGAAATTAATTGTATAAGGATTTATGTATCTGCTTCTAGATACAGTGTGTAAATAAAAATTTCATTCACAAGACCTGCCTTGTAGTTTATTTATATTTAATACCTGGATTACAGAATCTGATTTTAATTAAATCAGGTTAACTAGATAGTTTCTGGATGTCTCATAAACTTGCAGAGACTGGAGGGTAGGGACCAGCAAATTTAGTTTAAAAAAAAAAAAAGGCAGAAAAAAAACCAGGAAAAAGTGAAATAGTGTTGCTCACAGGAGAGAGGAAATGAATTTAGAATTAGCAAATATTGCTAACATCCTAAAGCCTTTAACATAAAGGCTGGAGTAACTGACAAACCATAACAAAACCTCTCCTAAACAGACTACTTAACATTAGCACAGTAATAAGACTTCACTAGAAGTTTGTACTGGATGATGAAATGTTTGGATCGTGACATTTTTTTAAATGTCCCTGTTGATAATATTTCATAAAAATAGAAGCAGGCTATCAAATTTTCTTTAATACTTTTAACTTTTTCCAGTTACTGGTTGTGAGAGTGTCTTAACCTTCTTAAAATTTTTTTTGACTCTTGTTTTCTTGTCTTTTACATGACTTGTCTTGCTAATGGATGTTTCACATCAGCTTCTCTGTTCCCACTCTCCCTACCCCAAAGCCTTCTCCCCAGAGTCCATGGCCCCCTGTAAGGCCAGGTCTGATGCTGGCAGAGAACCCAGTAGTGGTGGGGTCTGAAAGTATGTGTTTCTGAACACAGTGGACTTTGCTGGGGTTACACTTTTTGTCTTAAACTGCATATTCCCTACTTACTACCAGGCAACTTTGCCTGAGGAGTGAGAGGAGGGTCCTCTTGGCAAAGCCCTCCTATGGGTTGTACAAGCCAAAGAGGTTGGCCAGAGCAGGGGTTGTTTCCAGAGGGTTTACAAACAGGGCCAACTGCCTTATGTAGGAGTCACTTTGGACCATCAGATCCTGTGCTTGGCAACTGGCTTGCAAATAATGGTAAATCTTAAAAGGGAGACTTTTTGATCATGAGACATGGTTTTCCCCACACCAAGAAAGTTCTAGGAAGTGCAGATCTATATATGAGGCTGCCTTTTTCTGGTCTCTAACTTGGGTCTGTGAGTCTAACAGACACTTAGGACTCCATTACACCAGCCTAGGTCACAAGTGAATTTATAAAGTGTTCTCATTTTAGTAGAATCTTACTAAAGAGAACTTCTGTTGCTTTGTGTAAATAATCTGCTCTTTGGCCCTGCCTTGCCCCTAACAATTTTAAGAGCTGGCATCTCTGATTCCCTCCACTGAGAACTCGTTCTGAAGCCACCTGTTCACCTAATTCCTTTGCCACGGCGCATTTCTCTCTCCTCGCTGTAGTCCTTGGCATTCTTGTTTTCCGGTGGCTGGCAAGTGGTGAGCATCATTTGGCCCAGATAATTACCATCCCAGTAGTGATGTGGGGTGTAACAATTGCCTAGAAAACCGGTAGATGTGTATCTTTTAACACAGAAGACTACACTACATGGGTTCTTCTGGAATCAGCAGATGAAACTCGAGAGCTGCGTTTTATATCACCCGCCCCTTAAGAATCATAAGAAACATAAATTGTGCTGCCATATCTACTGCTAACACTTAGCATATATTTTACATCCTCAAAACAGCCCTATGCAAGGCAGGCACCTTAGCATCATAAAAAAAGACACAAAGGTGAACTACACAAGGTCACAAGATAGTGACAGAACCAGGTTACAAGTTCATGCAGTTTGGTTCCAAGATCCATGCTGTCATGCAATATGATACACTTCCTCTACTTGGGGTTTCCTATTATTTAGAATGTTTATTTCGGATTGTCATGGGAAAGAACTTCAGCACAAGCAAATGAGTTACCTACTGTGGTCTTCTTCAGACAACTACTCTGTAGCTTAAACAAGATGTTCTGTCTGGGCACTGGTGGGTAACCGTTTATGGGGCCTGACTCAGTGTATCTTATGGGCTTCATCTTTTAATCCTGAGGAAGGGAACATGGCTTTCCCTTGCATGGCCTTGGAAAAGTTCACTGGAAAGAAAACTGCCTAGGGACGCTTCTGTGGTTCAGTTGGTTGAGCGTCTGACTCTTGATTTTGGCTCAGGTCAGGATCCCAAGGTTGTGGGATTGAGCCCACGCTCAGTGTGGAGGCTGCTTGGGATTCTCTCTCTCTCTTTCTCTCTCTCCAGCTCTGCCCCTCTCCCCCACTGGCACACTCTCTCTCTCTCAACCCCCCCCCCCAAACCCTGCCTCATAAGCTAATATAGGAACACGATTTGGTGGAGTTGAATTGTAACTCTTGGGAAGCCTTCTCCACGTGTTTGGTACATAAGGAAAAATGTTCTCTCTGGGTTTTTGGTAATGTATTTGACCACACTGCCTGAGACGTTGTTGTGCCCTGTTGTACCAGGAGTCACAGTTTTATGCTTTATGGCACACAAAAGAATCTACCCTTTCCTTCTCATTTCCCACAGCCATGCCCAGCCAGTTCTCTTAAACTTCCTGTCATTTTGTAGTAAGCACATCCTGAACAAGAACTTCCTTCTGGAAGTAGTTCTAACTAGAACTCTGTGTTCTAGCTTCTCACCTGCACCTTAAGTGGGTAGAAAAAAATCACCAGCTCTGTTCATATGGTAATTGTTATGATGACTTCAAGGTAAATTCCCCTCCCCACTTCTGGGAAATAGCCACTTATATTATACCTAGCCCAGTATCATTAAAACAGCAATAATCGTGTTGTTACAAACTTTGAATAGTTTCCCTAAACCCTATCAGCACATATGACTAGCCTAGGAAGTTTAGAGAATTAAGACAATTAAGTGAAACTGAAAGTAGCTAAATCCCATTTAAAATGCATGTCAGTGTTTTCTGTGGTGTAAGTCTACAGGCAATGAATCCTCTCACCTTTTGTGTAACTGAAATGTGTTTATGTTGCCCTTTGTTTTTGAAAGACATTTTCACTGGATATAGAATTCTGGATTGACTTTTTCTTTTCCTCTGTGAGTACTTTTAAAATATCAGGGGCACCTAGATGGTTCAGTCGTTGAGCGTCCGACTTCGGCTCAGGTCATGATCTCACAGTTCGTGGGTTTGAGCCCTGTGTCGGGCTCTGTGCTGACAACTCAGAGCCTGGAGCCTGCTTCAGAATCTATGTCTCCTTCTCTCTCTACCCCTCCCCTGCTCGCTCCCTGCCTCTGTCTCTCTTTCAAAAACTAAAAAAAAAAAAAACGTTAATTTTTTTTTTTAATCATTCCATTGTCTCCAGGACCCTGTTATTGCTGATGAGAACTTAGCTGCCATTTGCATTGCTGTTTTTCTGCAAATTATGTGGAATTCTCTTACTCCCCCCACCACACAGCTTTTAAGATTTTCCCTTCTCTTTTTCTAACCCTTTCTTGTTCTCCTTTCCCTGCACTACTGATAATTTTTGATTGGATGATGAACATAGTGGATGAAACATTTTAGGAACTCTGGGCTGTTACTGTTTTCCCCTGAAGGGGGTTAAGTTTTCTTCTGGAAGTCAGCTAGAAAATGGAGAGATCGTGGGGTGCCTGGGTGGCTCAGTCGGTTGAGCGTCCGACTTCAGCTCAGGTCATGGTCTCACGGTTCATGAGTTCGAGCCCCACATCAGACTCTGCGCTGACAGCATAGACCCTGCTTGGGATTCTCTGTCTCTCCCTCTCTCTCTCTCTGCCCCTCCCCCACTCAGGTGCTCTGTTTCTCTATCTTTCAAAATAAATAAACTTAAAAAATTTTAAAAAAAAGAACCAATTAAAAAAAATGAATAAATAAAGATTCAGGAGCATTCAAGAGTTCCTGAGGAGCATTAAGGTGAGGACCAGAGAGAGGGGAGCTTATCTGAATTTTGCTACTGGTTTTACTACATTTACCTTTTAATAAATATTGTCTAAACTAAAATCATATTAAAAAATTCAAAAGTATCTTAATTGAGAATAATGAACAATCTTTCAATAGCGAGCAATTTGCAGATATATGAATTGCACAATAGAAAAACGTTCCTTTGGCATAAAATTTCCCATAGCATGTACATTGCCCATTTTCATTCAAAAAAATTGTCTGCAATAGTGTAAAGATTCTGCTGTGCACAGAATTAACTCTATAGGACAGTATCAGGTGTTGCTTTTACCTTTTGACCCATTGATGAAAATCAAGAAAAGTATTTGTCTTACTGGATTATTTAAAGGGGCTACTTTAATGATAACAATTTTAAGAACTCAGTATTGCCTAATGGGTAGAACCGAAAAAAAAAAAAAAAGTTTTTCCCCCACTTAGTTAGATGTTTAGTTGTAATGATATTTCTCAGGGACATATGACCCTATAATGGTATTTTGGTTTAATAATTCTAGACAAACCCAATCCATAACCAAGAGAACTTTTTCCCCTTTCGTTGTGAGTAAATGAATCCACTCTGGATGGAAAACATCCTGTCATTAATTTGCTTTGACTCTGCTCTTGCGGCCTCCATCCCAGGGGTCTTTCAACCCCAACCCAGCCTTTGTTTTACTCCAGAGAGAGAGCATTGTCACTATTTCTGTTTGCGCTTGGGTGTGATGCTCCAGCATCTAACAAAAGTCCTGTTTCAAAAACAAAAATTGATTTTTTTTCAGGGGAGAGATTCAATCCCAAAATATTTCCTCCAGTCGTAGCATATGAATAGATTCAAGCTAAAAGGAAATTTAGGTTGCTGAAATCATTCCATCAGAGGTTAAAATGTACAACCCCTTTTTCCTTCCTTTGGTGGGGCACTGCTCTTCCTTATGGATCTCCAAATGAAACCACTGTAATGAAAAAAAATGTGGCCAAGCGTGAGGCAAAACTATGCATCTTTGCTGCGACCTTGGGGCTCTCGTGAAAATGTGCTTGCAGGGTCCCTACACATTTACGAAATGATTGTTTTCATGGCTTTGATCCTTTCTGAGCTGGTCTCTCAATTTACCCAATGGCCTCATTTTCACCAGAGAATACCTCTCCAGGAAGCAACAAGATTGTGAAAGGAAACTTTGATCTGTATCCTTTGATTAT